TAGATATATAGATATATAGATATATAGATATAGATATACAAAGTATCCTCAGACTTGGCCTGAAGTCTTAATAGAGCAGTTTAGTTTAAGATGGAAGGTAAAGATATTGACTAGCTCCTAGAAATACCTCGTTCAACTACAGGAAGAGAAGGGAAGCCTCTCTGAGGTGTGTGAATGGCAAGGCATCCGCTTTCTGGCTCCTCTCTCCCCTGCAGTCTTGAAAAAGTGTGGAAGGCAGGAATGGAGACTAAGGCTAGGCCCATGGATTGAAGAAACCACAACAACTGGCTGCACTGTCTAGAGACTTTCTTGGGGCAATAATACATGGGGTATGAAGCAAAGGAAACCAAAGAAATCATTTCAAGTAGCTCACTGCCTAGAAGTCTTTATTTCTATTTTTATGGCAATCAATATTATTTTAAAGCTGTCTGACAAGATAAAGGAAGCCACCAAAATTTTAAGAAATTCCGTAAAATTGTCAACATCAAACCAAAATAAAGTAATTAATGAACCAAACAAATAGAACCTCAGGGACAACGGTTTTGGTGTTTGTGCCCTCCTAGCAAATTTCACCTTGAGTTTGTCTTGTAAATGTTTTGCAAGAAGTGTGCTTCCCTGGGCTGAGCTGGCATTGGTCTACAGGCCTGTTTTCATTTTTTATACATGATATATCTTTCATGGTAGAGACTAGAATGGCATGAAAGCCGCCGGACTACTTTCCAACAATGCAGTTGAATCTGAAAGCCCACTTATTTCTGCCCTAACATAAAAACAACCATAAACATTAAACTTGGATACAGTATGATAGTGGGAATGGCCTTGTAACACTATTAAATAAGATATAAGGATCAAAACAAAAATGGATAGACTCACAATTTAGAACATTTTCAAACTTGGGCTGAGAACAGTGCCTGGTTATCATTTTTGAACAAGATGGGACATGAGTAAGTGAAAATGGCCCAGATCCTCCTAGAAAAGAAAGAGGAAAGGGAACACATCCTCTCTTGTTTCTAACTTTGCCTGTCAGGTGAGGCTCCCTGCTGTCCCCATCCACAGTTACTGTCTAAAATGTGGGCGCTTTCAACTACAATGAAAAGTCAAGCTTCCTATAGATTTGTCAATCACTAAAGGATGTCTATGAAATACAGATGAATTTTAACTTAATTTTGTTATTGTATTTTAAAAGTACATGTTTCAAATGTGTGTATGGCTGTTAAAGATGTTCTGTTGGTTTCTAAGCCAGAACTCTGGACAAGGTGTGTGTGGACTGTGATCCCCTAACTGCTGCTGCTCTGCATGGTGTAAAGAGAGTGGGTCTCAGTCTTAGCCTGGCCTGTGCCGGACATGGATCAAACCCTTGAGCACTCAGTTTGGTGAAGATGTTATCACTATGTACAATAAAAGAACTAGTTGAATTAACTATGTGGTGTTAAATATTATTAATAAACTTCAACTTTTTTCAAAATATCCAGTGTGTCATCTGAGCAAAATATTCAGTCTGTATTTTTAAGATTGGCTATCTTAGGGACATATTAGTACTCCCTGAACAGTCTGAGGAGTAAATTCTGTATGTCTTGATTCTGAGTGTATAGTTATCTTTCAGTGTGCATGGGAGAGTGGCTGTAGAACCCACCCAAAGATACCAAAATCTATGAATTTTATGTCTTACATAAAACATAAAATAGTATAGTGTTTACATAGAATTTATATACATCCTCTATAGACAGTATGATATCTGATACAGTGTAAATACTAGGTAAATAGTTGTATTGTTTAAGGAATAATGGCAACAAAACAGTGTGCATGTTTAATACAGATGCGTTTTTTTTGGCTACTTTTGACCTAAGGTTGGTTGGCTGCACCTTTGCAGTCCATGAACAGGGAGGCCAACTGTATGTGACAGGCATGTGTGTGCTCAGGACATGGCCTGATCCTACATATTTTCCTCCCCAAAAGATTCAGTCCTAATGGAACTGGAAAGTGGCTTTTCCTGAGTCCCTGGTGTCAACCACCACTAGAGAAACATGGTTATCCTGGCATCTCTTGCTTAAGCAGTGTACTAGAATGTAGTGTTACCCCTCGTGGCTGCAGCTGGTCTCAGGAGGCAGATGTGATTCTCTTTCAGGATGTGTAGTTCTCAATGTGCACATCCATAAAGTACTATTGTCCTTTCTACCAGCCTTTTGCTATTCCCCAATAAAAAAGAAAAATCCAGGGAGCAAATTTCCCAGAGGTCTCTAGTGATACCCATTAACATTGATGCTGTGGCTTGACAATAACTAAGGGAAGAAAATGACCCATGCTTAGAGGAGAATATAGCCCACAGGCTGAGTGTGGTGGTGCACGCTGGTAATCCCAGCACTCGGGAGGCCAAGGGTTGCCACAAGTCTGAGGCCAGCCTGGGCTACATAGATCAAGGCCAGCGGCAACTACGTCATGAGACCCTGTCTCAAACAAAAAAGCCAACAGTTATCTTTTCCTAGGAAGGAAAAACTATAATTAGATTTTGGAAGTGTAAATTGGTATAATCCTATTGTATGTATAATAGGGGAAATGGTGATATGCAACCAAAACAGGTTTTGTATAATTCTCTAGAAATTTGTGCTAAGGAAATTTTTGGAACCAATATTTAGCTTTTAAGGGTTTGACTATAGTATGGTTCATACATGATAGCTAAAAAGAGACACCGTCTATTTAATGGGTCTGTCCAACCAGTTTCAACGTCTGGTCAGAAGAACAATTCACTGTAGTTCTTCTATCCCTTGGCAGAATCAGTCTGAAAGCTAGGGATCGGGTTGGGGCGAGAGTGGGGTAGGGACTGGGACCACAAAGCCTAGCAGATGAAGAGATACCCTGGTTTCCCTCCCACCCTCTAGTTTTCTGTAGTGTTTCCTTCTGGCTAAACCTAGGGAAACCAGAGTTAGCTACACGCAAAGCACAGCATGGATCTGAGCAATGAGCAAAGTAACAAAGCACATGCCCTATAAGACTTGCATAGAGTTACAGAGTATTATGACAGTCATGGGTGAATATTTCACCAAAATATGGACAGCACACTGCTGCATGTCCAAAGTGTGGTTTTGCATCCTTGGGAATTTAAAATGTAGTCAGGCCTATAATAGCTGTTTTTGTCTCAAAATATATATATAGACTCATTCCATACAAAAACATAATTCTCTGTAATAAATCAATTGTATTAGGTATTATAAGTCATCTAGAGGGAGTACACAGGAGGATTGTGTAGGCTATATGCAAATACACCATTTTATATAAATGACTTGAGCATCCATGGATTTTAATATCCTGAGGGATCCTGGGACCAATTCTACACAGATGCGAAGGTAAGATTGTGTTGTGGTCCTATTTTTGTTAAGAACAATGCATTATGACACAAAAGGTATTCCTTCAGTGGGATTCCCTGTGTCCCCTCTGCTTTACTGAGCTGCGCTAGAGGTCATATCCCCCTTCCTTAGCAGCTATGCTTAACTTGCTTTCCCTGCTGGGAATTGGGTGTCCCAGCCCTGTGCCCTGTCTGCCAGCCTCTGCTCAGCACAGTGTTGCCTCCTGCCCTCACTAGTTCACTGTGGCCCCCCAAAGCCTCAGGGGAGGGCTGCTCTGCCATTTCTCACCAGGACTCTGCAGTGGGAAGATACTTTATTCCCCCACAGACCCTTATCTTGGACGAGACACTCGGTAGAAGAGATGGTCAGTGTGTAATTTAGGATGGATTCCTGCAAGATGAGATCCTCAGTGCCCAAGATTCCCCAGCTCACATGCTTTCTGGGACTGCCCCTCTGCCACTCCTCCTTTGCAGAATCCTTGGTTTCTATCCTATCAGATGCCAGTAGCACCCTAACCCCAGCTGTGACAAAATGTCTTCAGGTGCTAAATGCCCCCAGAGATGTGACTGATAGATAAACTACAAGCAGACTAGTGTTTTATCTCAAATGTTACATGAAAGATACAGTAAATGATTTTGATCTGAAATTCTAATTTTGCCAGGCATTTTATATTTTTATTTACTAAAGTTTCCACCAATATCTATGCAAAACCTCTCCTGGTTGAGAACCACTAGAAAAATATTGGAGATTTTTAGAAGTGAATCTTATTTCTGAGATGCCTGCTGAATTTTACTACTGTAATAGGTACCTTGTTCTGTTGGTTTTTTCCATCTAGTTGACCTGGTTCTCTTCAATTAATGGTTTTTCCCTTTTCTTTCCTTTAAATTGCTAAACCTGTTCTTTTTCTTCTCTTTTCTTACCACATTTGATAGTACTAAGGCATAGACTGTGGTAGATGTTATTGTGCATTTTTGTCTTGTTCTCAGTCTTAGCCTATGGGGCACAATGTCAATTTTGTCTTAAAGCCCCTGGGTGTATAATACCCACATTTATTCTTTAGAATATTTCTATTGATGAATTATTAATTTTAATTTTAAAAATTTTATTATATTAAACAAGGAGTACTTAACAGGAAAATATATCCAAAAATAAAGGATTGAATTTTTGATATTTATTGAGTGTTTATAAAAAGCATCAAAAATTTTAATATCAATTGTTTTTCTGTGTACAAAGTCTAGAAAATAATAACAAATAAATTCCTATATGGACTACAATGAAAATACCAATAGAACTCTACAACAAAATCTTTACTTCAATTATCACACCTTAGGCAGTCTTCACACATGACAACAGCAATTTCCATACACACATATTGCTTACAATGACAGCAAATGTGTTTTGCTTTCCTGGCCTTTTTATAGGACATAGTTGATATCTTGCTGGTCTTGCTGTTTTGTCAGGAGGTTCTTACTAAGTTATGGAATGTACAGTTAACAGGAGCATAAAATGCCAATAAAGTAAAGTATTACATTCTTAATATGTATTGTGTATTTAGAATAAATATCAATATTTTCACATCAACTGGGTACTTGCTTAA